GCTTCAAGGGGCCAAGGTTGGACAGCCCTGGTATAGAGAGTAAGGCCTCAGGCTAGAAACTAGGATACTGTGAGTTCTAGTCCTACTTTAGGGGAAAAAGCCATCTGGGTGACCTTGAGCCAGTCACTTTTTCTTAACCTTAGGAAGGAGGCAATAGCAAACCACTTCTAGAACTAGCGCTAATCCAAGCATTTGTCAGGAATCAAAAAGTTGACTTAAAAGTGTGCACATGCACGCACAATCACACACACACACACACACACACAAATGTTACAATGGGCGGAAACTTTGCAGGGGAGTTTCCCCCCCCCACAAAAACTATTCTCCACTAGGATGTTTCCTTTTAATAATCCCGGAAAATTTATTTATTTTACTTTAATTCTCATCTTCCTCCTAGGGCTTAACCAGAGTAGCTTTATGCTCTTATTTTCTTTGATAAATTTTCCCCTCCCCCAATGTTTGTCATTTATTTTTCCATGTTGCAGGGCACAGAGTGGGTTAGGCATTTCCTGGTCCCAATTCTTTTATACATAGTGATTACTTTCATCTTAAATAAAGGTTTGGCATATGAAAAAGTAACTTGTAAGATTTAATTAACCTATTTTATTTTTTAAAAGAAAACAAGTTAAAACAATATAAATAAATAACCTATGAATGTCTATGCAGAATGAAATTTTGACTATTGAGAAGGTTACATGTGAAAATTAAATCTTTGCTTACACTGACAATTTTAATCTGGAGCAACATAGGCCAGAATCTGTGAGAATGTGGATAAAATATGGGTGGTAGGAGCTCAATTATTTCCAAAATATACGATTAAAGCAGACTCAATTGGACAAATTGTAATATGAATGGTGTTTGTATGTATACATGTATATGTGTATGTCCATATGTATGTGTACGCATAGAAATACAATATGTCCACATACTAATAATATAGACACACTTATTTATATATACAGAAATACAGTCTGTGTTGTATATGCAGAATGTATGATTAAACAATATTTTAAAATTGAATGTAAAGTGTAATATAAACCAGACTGTGAATTTTCAAAAAAGATTCCAGTTTAGCAGATAGCACTGATATAATAATGCTATCTACATGCATCTAAAATTTTATGCATTCAAGATCATATTAACTGTGACAAATTTTGCTTCTCCATTTATATGAATAAATAAATGTTTCAATGAGAAAAAATTAAAAAGAAACCTTCAGCATATAAAGTTAATAACAGTAAAAAAAATTGCTACCAGACATCTTTTTTCCCCAGGATGAAAGGAATGTATATTTCTTATAATATATTCTTACTTACCTGAAATTCATCAAAACACAAGAGACAAGCTTCCTCACTGATTTCATCAGCTATAGGAGCTATTGGATCATATGATTTAGCCATTAATCCAGCTTTTCTTTTTGGCAGACGCTGTTTAAGGCAATGGATTCCTGAAGTGAACATTTTGCAAGATACTTAGTAAACATGTTGGAAATAGACTCAAAACAAAGGTTATATTTACATGTTAATAGAAGTAACTTTTTTTCGCAGTAATTCTGTGCTAATTCCATTCTTTCAATTTTAGAAAAACAATTACAACTACAAAGCATTTTCCCATCCAGTGAGTGTCCTTGATTCATGCAGCATCCCATGGCTTTTCCCCTCTTTGCAATATATCCAGAATATCATAAAGGGGGTCAAGATATTATCCAACAACACATATTATTTAGTTTGGTTTCTTTCTCTATATAAGTATATATTAAAAGCACATTGTCTATGTTGATATTGTTGTATACTGTTGAGAAACAAATTTAAGTTCACGGACTAGAGCAAATACAAAGAAATGTGAACAAGGAAATAAAGGAGAAACAAGGAAAGCTTACAAAAGACTAGGAAGCTTTAAAAACTAAATGTTAATATAATGGAAAATAGAAGATCTTTGTACATTAAAATAGCTAACTAAATCTTCACCTCTAGTTTCTAAATAAACGAATAACAAGTACATTGTACCATCTATTTCATTTACTATGTCATGTATTACACAAAAACCTGTATATTTGCAAAGAGCAATTTTACTGGAGAGTTCATTATGGAAAATATTTTTTTTCTGGCACTGAGAAGGATGGTCCATGCCAACTTTTCCCTTGTTTAGGTTCACAAATGCTAATACAATATCGGCAGGATGTAAATATTCTTTGGTACCCCAAGAATTCAGCCAATAGTCAGAACACTAAGAGTGTGAGTGTGTGTGTGTGTGTGTGTGTGTGTGTGTGTGCGTGCGTGTGCGTGTGTATACAGCAGTTGGTGGAAATCAGTCACTCTCTTTCAGTTACCCTGTTCCACCTTCAACTTGACATGACATCTTTTTGCTATTCAACTTTTAAATCAGGGCCTTATGGCAACTGAAAGGCCAACAAATACATTATAACACAAGTTCACTCTTCACTTGCTGCTGACTATTGTAAAAAGTTTTGGTATTTTCACAATATTGTTCAATCTCTCTCTATAAGTGTTGCAAGACCACATATCACCATTTTCCAGCAGATGCTCTGAATTTTTAATCATGCAAATAAGTACCAATGAATTAAATAAGTGATTGACTGTCCACTGGTACTTACTCAAGGAAAATGAAGCCTACTAACTCAAATCCTCAATGTTTTCCCTCAATTAATTCCTAGGGGTGTTGCAAGACAGCTCTATTCTAACTGAAAAATCAGGTTGAACACTTCCCCATACAGTCTATGTTAATTCCTTTCTTTTCGGCTTTCAACTGACAGTCTTCCAGCGGGTGCCAAACAAAGAATTAAGAAGAAACAGGATGATAGATAACACGGAAGATACCTGTTAACATACTGTATTGTACCAGAAAGATTTAAACTTACTTTTATGCACATCAAGCATGAAGCCATGGAAATGGACTCTCTTTTTTCTTTCTACTTGTAGATGAGAATAAAATATGTCCATCACCATTGTCTTTCCTGTGCCTTCAAATAAAAACACACATACCCAACAGGTTGTTAATTTAAAACACTATGTACTGATTACAGTAATGACTGTTCATTAGCATTAAGCTAATGAAATCATAATCATGATCTGAACAGTACAAAATCATTATCTTTGAAGCAAGACTTCAACTAACATGGGCAAGATCATTTGTATTATATCTAAAATATAATATCAAAATCAACAAATGCACTCATTGTTTCTGTCTGAAATACACCGAGCATTATTCGTTAAAAATAAATGAGAATATCTCCGTTCTTTTTTTAAAAAATAGATTAGTCATAAATACATCTTTCTGTCAGACCAAGTATTCAACTCAACTAAAATCCCCCTTCCACATAACAAGGGCATCAAAACAAGAGCCCTCCCTGCCATATGCAATCAAGGCTCACAGGGTCCAGGGATTTCATATCACAAAGCACACTACGTTGATCCATTTCATTACCTGACATTGCTCCAACTCTTGATTTGCTCTGTAATGTCAAAGCAAACTAAATACAGGTCATTAGAAGCTCAGCCTGGGGTGCTTTGTTCTATTTAATCTCATTGCTGTCATTGGAAAAGAAAGTTAGCTTATTAGTTAGCTATAAATCTGGAAAAGTGTGCAAATATGCTAAAACAAAATTGGCCATGTTTCAGTTAAAATCTTTCAACTTACCAACATCACCATAGATATAAAGGCCTTTTGGAGATTTACGTCTTGTAAAAAGCTGTAAATTAAGAAAATAATTATATTTTATCTTCCTGGATAAAAGCAAAATAGGAAAACAACATGATATATTCATTGCAAAGTCAATATAGCTTCCAAACTCAATTCAACTACTGCATTAAAAGAACAAAGCCTGCTCTGCTGCTTGAAAGCTCAAATATTATTTTGGTTGATCAAGCACACAATAAGGGAAATTGGAAAGGACAAAAACCCTAAATATTCTTTTTAATATCTTTTCAAGCCCAGTAGGTTGAGCATTTTGAATAATTCTATAGTGAAAAATTATATAGAAATTACATGTAAACAGACCATCTTTTCAGTGGTTTATTTATGACATATATGGAGTCATCTCTTCTATTCATGCTTTAGAGATGACTCCACCAGACTGTCAATTATCTGGAAGTCTGCACTCTCAAACAAAAAAATCTCCACACCACAAGCCAGCCAAACACCTGGGCACAAACAGACTCCCCCCAATACCTCCAGCTCAAACACACCCCAACCAGGCACCCAGATGAAACCTAGCTTCCTAATAAATGATGGCCGTCCATTTACTCAGAGCCAAGCCGCACTAAAAGCCTCCAATACAGGAAACACAATGTTGCCAGCCAATCAAGACAAAAAAAGCTACAAAACAGACAGAAGATATTAGAAACACCAATCAAGCAGAACACAGCAAACTCCAAGACCAATAAACACAGACCAAGACTCCCAACCAATCAAGATGAAGAAAAAACCATTCTGGCACAGCGTAGGCTAGCCCCAAATTTAAAACAGAAACGGCTGTGAAAGTCTGACTCACAAACCAACACAATACAGAAGCCTGATAATGGCAGATGAGATTCTGCCGAAACATTGCTACAACTTTAAAAGCACAACTATAATGACGTGGGAAAATATCCAAACAAAGCTGAATACCACACACACACACGCACACACACACACACACACACACATATGTGTGTGTGTGTGTGTATATGGTATGTGTGTGTGTGTGTGTATATATATATATATATACATACATACATACATACATATACATATATACATATATACATATACATACACATACACACATACATACATATACATATACATACACATACACATACACATACACATACATACATATATTCACATTTTTCAGCTCTTGAAGGTTCACAACAAAATATCACAATGAAAATATCCACAGAAAATGCAATTAAAATTAGGTTAAATTAAAATGAAAATAACACAACCCTCACAATTCACCCAAAGCCTCCAGATTAACTCTGTTTCAAGTAGCTTCTGGAAGCTTATTACTGATGGAACCAATCTTACTTGCACTGGGATACCATTCCAGAGGAACAGGTTATCATGTAGGAACAGTACCTCCACAACACAACCTCCTGCCCACTTCTCAGAAATAAAGCATTACTAGCAGTTTCTCTTGAGAAAGACACCTTAGATAGGTTGAATCCAGTTGGAGGAGACACTCCTGAACATATTATGCCATGTATCATTTTATACGTTAAAACCAGCTTTTGAACTGCATCCAGAAGCCTACTGGCAGCCAGTGCAAGGCCCATGATACCAGCGTTGCACAAACACACTATTCAATATCTATCACACACGGGTCTCTGTATCTTGCACAGTTGCAGTTTCTGAGTGGTCTTCAAACCCCATGAGGAATGCATTGAAGTATATGCATCATGATGAGAGAATAATTCTCTGAACAACTGCTCCAAGTCATTACAGCCAGAGTGGGCAAAAGTCTTTTGGGCACAACCTGTCCTTGCTTTTACAGAAGCCCCCCCCCCAAAAAAAGTAATAGATTTGTTCTCTCAAGAATAGTGCTACCTCCTTCAAGAAAGACCACTGAAACTGATAGAAGGTGATGGACAAAAAGCAACTTCAGGTTCTAGGGTTCAATTTTAGCTCATTTTCTCTCATCCACACTGATAGCCTCTAGACAAAACCTTATAATCAGCAAACTGAATGTACCTCACCCCAAATCTACATGACCCCTCCCAATATGTAAATGTTAATTTACATGTATTAATTGTTTATTAATTTATTTATTTATTAATGTTAACTGCTCCAAACTTGATTGCAGAAAGTACGACTTCAGCAACAGAGTGGTCAATGCCTGGAATGTACTACCTGACTCTGTTGTTACATCCTCTAACCCTCACTCCTTTAACCTCAAACTATCCACTATTGCCTCACCCCATTCCTAAGAAGTCTATAAGGGGCGTGCATAAATGCACAATCATGCCTACTATCCCTGTCCTATTGTCCCTATTTATTCGTACCTATTTCCTGTATTCTTACTCATGCTTATACTTATACCTATTATCTTGTAAATGATTGACAAATCAAATAAATAAATAATAAAATAAATAAATATTAAAGAAAGGGGAGGGGTAATACCTTTCAAGCCCATCTCTCATCTTCCCGTCCCAACAAATACAACCACCTTCTGAAGAAGCAAAACCACTGTAAAACAGTAGCTACAATTCTTGCAGATGCTTTAGAAAGATACCATCATTGAGGGTATCAAAGGCTACAACAAAGTCTGAAAAGACCAGGTGATGCACTGCCCCATATAAATTTCAGCAGAGGTTTTTGCTTCTTGTTATAGGTGAAAATTTGGTTATTACACCTGAGAATGTAAAGAGCCGAACTGAAGTCATTTTGTGTTCGCAGGCTGAACTTTTAAAGCTCAGAACATTTATGTAATGTGTTTTCTGCTAGAAATTATACAAGATTGCAAAACTATGCACTTGGCAGAAGTTAGAGGTATGTGCTGGGGTGCTCTGACATTAGACGTTACATTAAGAGATATCAATGGTTTTCTTATAATCTTCTGGAATTTGAATAACAGGAAATCTGACTATAATGAGAATGTTGGGAGTTTTCCATGGAAGGTTGGAACTTTCTTATGAAAATGTTGTATAACGTTCATATATGGGAAACAGGAAGTGTTATGTAACCATGTGATTTGATAAACCTATATAAGCTGTATTCACTAAAAGGGAGTGTCTCCTTTTCTCCTAAACATGGTTTTGGAGTAAGGGGGTCCATACTGCAGTATTTTCCCTAATAAAGCATCCTATGGATCAGATTATCAAAAGTCCGTTGGTTCATTTTTATGTCTATCTCACACTTCTCTTTATCACTACAGTCCATACTTGTGTTCAGTCACATCCATTTTTATTCTTCCTCCACCAGTGCTCTAGGAATTGCTTAGGTTGCCTCATCTCCTGGAACTCCTCAGAAAAAGAAGGAGTAACCCAGCATCGGTTTACAGAGAGAGGTTGCTTGAGGGGCAATTTCTTTTAGACCCCAGTCTCCTCCTAATGCTAGGCAGGTAATTGCTAAATCACTGGGAAACTTTCCCAAGAGTCCTCTGGAAACTATCCAGATCCATCAGTCCTCTTCAGTTCCGCAGGCATCTTAGGTGGCTGTTAATTTCATTTGGACTAAGAAGCAATTAAAATATACAACTTGGTAAAGGTGTTACCCTCCATATTCAGATAGCCCCATAACTGCACCACAACAAGTAAACTAGAGACAGATAACAGATAAACCCACAACTGCCCTGAAACCCCAAAACGAGAAGAAGAAAAGGTCCATATAATAACCAGTTCTGTCCATGTGTTGAGCCAATGATTACTTTGGATGAACCTATGAGGCAATGAACTTCATGGCTATACCCATCTCTGCCACAAGTCACTGAAACTTGGCCAGTATATAAATTCAATAAATTTATTTATTTATTTCTGTTCACAACAATGCCCCACAGGTGCTTCTCAAAAGGCAACAGGACTTTCCTGGTTTCCTCCTTCGTTTCTCATCCAAGAAGCTTCCTCAGTTCAGAGTATAAAAGAAAGAAACATGGTACTGGACAGCTGGGATTCATCTCCATTTCTTCAGGAGAAAAAAAAAACTCTCAGGAATCTCAGAAAGGAGAGAAAAATCTCCTATTTCTCTTCTACCTGCTCAGTAGGCAAGAAGACCCTTTTGCTTGCTGATAAGATCAGAAGAATTTGTTGGGAAAAAAGGAATGGGCAGGAGGTGCATGTGGCTGTAGACTCTGCCGCTGCCACTGCTTGGAAAGCTCTCATTGTCCTGTGAATATAATGTAACATTTTGCAATTCTCTTCTTCTTTTGGTCCAGTTACTGCTTCATTCATTCTTTGTTGTTCTCCTTTCCTCTTTTCATCTCCTCCTCTGGAAAATTAGTTTTCTTCTTTCTCATCCCCTTTTTAGTTCTCCCCCTTTTTCCTTTCTGCTACACATGTGACAATTTGTGAAAGCAATTTCTACGTTTAAGAATGATTTGTATATGCCAAATAAGATCATGAATTTTATAATGAAATACATTACGCTAATGGAAATTAAGTTTAATAAGTTATTAGTCTTCTTTTGTGGGGGAGAGAGAAATGTCAAAGATATGAATACACATTCATCTTTGGTATTTTTCAAGAGTTGAGTCAACTAAATATAAAAATAGAAACTAATGTCCACAATCAGTGAAGAATCCTGAACTAAAAGATGTCTGAATATTTCGTTCAGGAAGAAATCTGAAACATGTTTCAAATCGACAAGGAATTATTTTGAGGGGGGAAAAAAGATAAAGGTTTTAGTGTGGCCTTCACAGTCCCCATCTGAATAGCATTGTATTGAGAGTTTTGCAGTGATAATTCAGCGACAGAAAAATAAACACAGATGGCTGATGCTTCATTTAACATCTTTATAAACACAAGTAGATTTTACAAACCAGTTGTAGATTTCTCCAACATGGAGCAAACTCAAACAGAAACATTTTGCAAATTCAGAGCATAGCTTCAGTCTTCAGCAAGCAAGCAAGTTAGTTTTACCTTCAGTAGACAGGCTCAGAGCTCAACATAGCTTCAGAGCTTAACAACAGAGCCAGGCCTAGGCTACTTTTAGTTTCAGTTTCCAAACTATCCTCATTGGCTGATTTAGTTGCTGTGCCTATTCATTGGCTGACCTTGTTACCATGCTCTATTCCAGTTCATGACTATACTCTGACACATTGAAATCTATGGGAGATCTCAAGGACAAAATGTACATATTGGTAAAATCCAAGAATATTTCTGAATTAGCAGAGTTTGTAAAGAAGAATGGGAAAAATGCCAAAAGCTAGAACAGAAACATTCTCATAGAAGAGCTGTTTATTTCTGCTAAAGCAGGTGTTACAAAGTTCTGACTGAAAAGCTATCCAAACTTTTTTATGTGCTATATTCATTGTTTTCTTAATCTAAATAATTCCACACAAAAAATACATATTCATTCGAATTTCCAGGAAGATGTCACGTTTACCTTTGTAGCATGGGGAAGGTATTACCAGCTTCGCCTAATAATTCACTGAAATATACAATTGAGTCAGGGATGCCTAATATATTCAGAAAGGGCTCATTCTAGTTATAAATTAAAATGCACAACACAAGACACTTAGGATGCTTGGAGTTCTCCAGACTCATGGATATGATCCTAATATACCCCTGAAAAAGTGCTATCAGCCCGTAATTTTTATGGAACAGAAATAGAAAAAAATATTTAAAACTTAAGGGAGCAATTAGTGCAAATATACAGACAGTCCTCAACTTATTACAATTGAACCCAATGTCTCTCTTGCTAAATGAGATAGTTGTTAAGTGAATTTTGCCCCATTTTATGACCTTTCTTGCCACAGTTGTTAACTGAATCACTGCAATTCATAAGTTAGTAACCTGTTTGTTAATTGAATTTGGCTTCCCCATTCACTTTGCTTGTCAGAAGGTCACAAAAGGGTATCCCATGAACCTGGGACACTGCAACCGTCATAAATATGAGTCAGTTGCTAAGCATCTGAATTTTGACCATGCGGATGCTGCAATGGTCATGTGGAAAACGGTCATGACTCACTTTTTTTCAGTGTAACTGTGAACAGTCATTAAATGAACTCTTGTAAGTTACTTATGTAAATAAGAAATTTAAATTTTATTCATTTTAGCTTGAGTTGAAACCTTGTTCTGGATCACTTCTCTAACATTATCATCTCTTCCCCCATCTGCAGCATGTCAGAGTTAGGGTAAAGGAAAGACTGCAACCAGAAACAGCTTGTGTATTGGCGCTAAAAGTTTTTTTGGTTGCCAGAAGGATGCTGGTTAAAAATGTTAGGGATAACATTGTTTACCCTAACTGGTTTGGGTAAAAATAATAAATAAGGTATCATGGTTTGTTAGTTAAAGTGTGTGTAACTTTAACTGCAAGAATGTAATTAAGGGTGTGGTTGTAAAAGCACTATATAAGAAGCGAGGCAATTGCAGCTCGCTCTCTCTGGCTTGAAGATCCCTAATTACTGGATGGATTGATGACTGCGTTCTTGCTGGAACGGGGAGAGAAAAAGGAGTGTTGATTTTTCTCAACAGAGAGAAGATAAAGATTGGACTGATTTATTGTAAGTGAACTGACATTGGCTATTCAACACGGACTTTGCAAATAGAGTATCCCCGACAAGACTTGACTGAAATTGATATATGACTAATGGACCGTTATTTTGACTATGCTATAATTCTTAAATGGAATAAACTATATTTTTGATAGCACAAGCGTATCTGTATTTTTACTGCGTGTTAACTAGAAAACTTATCTCACACATTTACCTGTCTTCCTATCTGACTTCGCTGTACATTCTGTTTAGTTTGTTTTCCTTAACACCCGTTGGGGAATCCAGGCTTAACAAAAAGTATCAGCTGAATCTCTTACCCATACATAAGTTGGAGGGGAGATTTCTACAGAAAAGTTTGTTGAGGAAGCGAAGCGTTAATGGTCCATTTCCAGAACTGACTTGGGAGCAGGGAAAAGGAGATAATAAATCTCCCCTTAAAATAAACACATTTGCTTTTTAAATAAGATATACAAATTTGCATATTCCCACTAGATCAAGTATACTTAAAATACTCAAAAACGTTAGCAGTGTGGTATATATAAAATTGTCAGGGGCAAGCAAGCAGATCCAGATGTGAAATGTTCAAGTTAACTACAGGTAGTCCTCAACTTACAACAATTCAGTTTGTGACCATTCAAAGTTATAAGGGCACTGAAAAAGGGACTTAGGACCGTTTTTCACAGTCATGACCTCTGTAGCAGACCCATGGTCACGAGATCAAAATTCAGACGCTTGGCAACTGGTTCATACTTATGACCGCTGCTGTGTCCCAAGGTCATGGGATCGCCTTTTGCAACCTTCTGACCAGCAAAGTCAATGGGAAAACCAGATTCACTTAACAACTGGGTTATTAACTTATCAACTGCAGTGACTCACTTAACAACTGAGGCAAGAAAGGGGATAAGAAACTGAGGTAAAATGGGGCAAAGCTCACTTAACAACAGAAATTTTGGGCTCAATTGCAATCGTAAGTCAAGGACTACCTGTATTTTATCCTACCTATAATAGAAGAATCTTTCCAGGTTGCTTGCCCTTCCTTGGGTACAAAGTCACATGAAATTTGGGGCAGGGGCATTCCTAGGTCTCTTGCAAATATACAATGACTCAAGGCTAATTCCCTACTTGATCACTCCCACTTGCCTGCTGCCGATTTCCCCCCCCCAAAATAAGTAAACAATATACTTTTTCTAAAGTTTATGTCTTCAAAAATAATTCCTACAGTATCTGCAGTGATATTTTTAAATCATGTTTTTTTTTAATTAAAACATCAACCTATTCTCCATTATACCAGTCTGATATGAAGAGGTCTGGTTTTTTTTACATAAGGGCCTAAGGTTCAAACTGCAACCTATCCAAGAACTGCAATTTATCCAGCAGCAAATATGAATAAGCTCTCAGATGAGGGAACACTGTTGCTTACTCTTTGGCAATGCTAAATTTATCCAATAGGCTCCTCTTTACTGTCTTTGTCTGCTGATTTCTACCCAATTCATTTCATCGATTTTGCCTGGTATTCTTACTTCTTGCCTCATGTTCATTTCTTTCACATTATCCTGTAGGTTAGTTTTTAATCAATGGATATTGATTAATGGATTAATTTTGAAGAGGCTTCTGGTGTTTTCCTCTGTCCAGTCTAGTACTAGAGGACAAAACTTGCAGGTTTTTACCAAAAAGAAATGTTAAAAGCAACTAGAATAAGTACAGCAAAGCACAAAAATCTGAACTATTTTCTTCAGATTACAACAGTATGACTCTGCCACCTTCTGGCAAAGAACTCTTTGTAGGTTCAGGATACTACCTTCTACACTACACATATTAAAGATTGAACAATCCAAAATCTTCTATAGAATGTGTGCATTCTTGTAGACACAACAATAATCAGTGTTATTCAGGTAATAATAATACACCACTTAAGTATATTTCAAGTTTAGAACAGTGGAAACTGAGTTTTATTCTAGCAAAAATCGGTAAATTATTATTAATAACTTGTTCCAAATTTGTTTTATTTAGGAACTGAATATAGGTTACAGATCAATTTGATAGCAGAATATTTCTCATGAAAATATCTCAATCAGTAAAATTTGCTAAATTTAATTGCACTGGGGAGAATTAAAAATATCAATCTTATTTATACCTTGACTGCCATCAAATAATTATTACTATTTCTGATACTCAGCCTTGTTGTTTTGTCTTATCTTCTCAGTCGCAGTCTCTTAGGCATGAAGTGAGATAATTAAATAACATTATTTACAGAGCTGTTGCAACCAAATTCAGAAAAAGCATGTGAACCAGACACCAAATCTGCTGCAAAAATGCATAACAGAAGAATGTTACCTTTGAGAATATGTGTTTTGGACTGAGGTTGTAGCCTTGAAGACTTTCGTGTAACTTCTGCAGGCACCGCATGACTTTCCTTTGCTGTTCATCATTCCTCAGCTGCTCCACTTTGGTAAGGAATTCATAATGTTCTAAAGGTCCGTTGCAAAGCAATAAGGCTTTCGAATTAGCATCTGCTAGTCCACCGCTGGCAGCTTTCTCTGCTACCTGAACTGTATATGCTATATGACATGAGAGAAACATTTATTTACTGTTCTCTTAAAAAAAACAAAACCCAAAGAGTCAGTCTTATTCTTACATAATAGTGGGTTGAAATGAGAAACTCTGATTAAATCCCTTGCTCACTGATTTATTTTTATCCCACCTTTATGATTTTTATAACTCAAGACAGCAAATATACTTAATATACTTTCCTTCTCCTATTTTCTCCACAACAATCCTGTGAGGTGGGTTGGAGTGAGAGAGTGTAACTGGCCCAAGGTTGGCCTTCCTGCCTAAGGTGGGACTAGAATTCACAATCTCCTTGTTTCTTGGCCAAGACCTTAATCACTACACCAAACTGGCTCTCTTAAAGTCATCCGTGATAACTTTGAGCAAGCCATTATTTTTTCTAGGGTTTTTCAACCTTGGCTGCTTGAAATTGGATGGACTTCAATTCCCAGCATTCCCCAGCCAGAGTTCTGAGAGTTTGAAGTCCACCCATTTTCCAGCGGCTAAGATTGAGAAACACTAAGTCCAATTCACTCCCCCATTAACAAATAACTTGTGAGCCTTCTGCACCATTCAGAAGAACATGAAATGTAAATAATAACAATTATAAATTCCACTACTATTCCAAGACTTTCTACATATAACTTAAAGTTCTTAAATACACAACAGAACACCCACCACCTACAATAAGTGCAGTATGTAATAATACACAGTATTTGTACAGCCAGAAATTTCTGCACAGATTTCTGATGTGTTCTTCATGAACGCAAGCATGCAAAGCAAAAATGATCTTCATCATTTAACATTACTAAATGCATATTCAGTGTACTACATTCAGCTACATTCATCTCACTCTGACATGTACAATATATACAATGTATGCTGTCCTTCATTGGGCCATTGAGATGATGGATATTTTCTATGACACCACAAATTAGGGATTAAAACATACATATCAATATATTTTATATATTATTAGAAAACAAAGAGTTGTTACTTTTTCATATATAATTAAAGGTTTCCTCTGTCCAGTTGTGTCAGACTCTAAGGAGCACTGCTTATCTCTATTTCCCAGCCAAGGGAGCCAATGCTGTCTGAAGACATTTCCATGGTCATGTGGCCGGCATGACTATACCCCAAGGCACATGAATGCTTTTACCTTCCCACTGAAATGGTACCTATTTATATACTTGCATTTGCATGCTTTTGAACTAATAGGTGAGCAGGAGCTGGGACAAGTAACGGGAGCTTACCGCATACCACACTTGGGTCTTGAACTCGGGCTGTCAGCTTTCTAGCTTACAAGCTCAGCGTCTTTAACTGTGGAGCCATCGCACTCCCACCTTTTTACATAAATAACTAATAACTTTATTAAAATTTTTGAATTGTTATTCTAGAGGATCTCCCTTTCTATTACCATCTTTTCTAGTGCTAAATAATTCATAAGATTGTGATGAATAAGATTATCTTGATTTTGAATTAATGTTCCTTCCTATAAATTAATCTAAACCTCAAAAAAACAGTTATCTCTCAATAATTCAAGGCTTTTGAAATCTTCTACATATTCTCTTCTCACCATTAAACTAAACTGGCTTCTTTTGCCTAGGACATCCTTACTAAACCCAGCTACAAATTGTTTACATCTTGACTGTGTGTTCTAACACAATAGGACTTATCTTTAAGAAGACATAATCAGGGTAACTACTAGAGATAGACATCAAACCAATATACAGTAGCTATAATTCCCAGGATTTATACTTTTTATGCTTCACCTTTAAATAATATAGAGTTCAGCTAAAGATTTATAATTTCACATAACTTACGCTATTTATACATCACAATTTTAGACTACCTTTGCAGATATGAACTCACCAAGACAGTTTATAAAATAGTCCAAAATACATTCTTAATTATCAAAATTTGAAAGATAATGTGTATATATAATATCCTGCTTGAAAATACTAAAATCCAGAAGCCATAGAAGTTCCCTAAAAATATATCTTACAAGCAGGCTAAAGAAATAAATGTTTTAAGATTTTCCAATAACCTTCTGATGATTATTTTCCCCAGAGATTATTGGGTGAATGCATAAAATACCCTCTTCTCATGCCCATTTGTCTGATAACTCTCACTGCTGGCAATCTAGTAAGACCTTTCTTGTTTTTTATCAAGTACCGGTAGCAGATATAGTAACTTGACACAAAATAAATCCCCTCTCTTGATTGGCACTACATCTCTTTTATTGATTCCTCTGAGTTCTTAAAGAGAAAGTTGTCATTTAGACAATATAGAAGTGTCCTCAAATGACCATTCTTGGCAGGGTATCTTCAAACAGATACAGGACAATTAAATACTATTATTTGTACTTCACACCTCTTCAATTTCTGTTTTGAAAAACATCATCCACATCTTCTCCATGATGGGGGATCTATACTATTAGTCTATTCCTTTTATATTTCTGCATAAATGTCATTTTAAACATATACTGTGACTCTGCTTCTCATTGCATTCTTTTACCTTTTTTATTAAGTTGTACCCTTGAATATTTCAATCACAAAAATCTTTCCAAAAGATTTAAGTCTTATTTATCTTACTATATCAAGATTTCAGAGTTATTTTCCATATTCGGAGCCTTGGTATGTACATAATAAACGCATGAAGTTTATAAGCTAATATTCTTACTGATTTTTAATTAAGAGGGTTAATTAGTCAGTTATTCTTGTTTTGTCGTTGTCTTCTATAGACAAAAAGGACCCTGCCTATGCAGGAGCTCCAAAGTTCTTCAGGTTCTTTTCTAGATCTTCCAAAGCTATGGTGCAGCTATTCCTTTCTGGTTCCCCCACTACCAGTAAGAATTGCCAGGAAGAGATGGTGATCTTTCTAGACTTTGGTATCTGTTCCTCAACATCCATCCTTCTGGCAATAAAGCTGCCAAGGTAAGAACCATTGGTTCCTGTACTGGAGAAAATTTTCCTCTCACAAATCAGATGCACTACAGGTCCAGAAAGAGAATAGCCCAAATATTCATTGAATTGGAAAGAAAGGAGGGAAACGCCTAAAATTTAAACCGAGAAGTATAGATTAAATATCGTGTGAGGACTTTGATTTCTGTATAATACAGTTTATGTTCTGTATGCATACAAGTTCACTCAAAGAGACTAATCTTGCTAAATCATGACTGTCTCTAGAGTAAAGAGACTAATCTTTACTAAAGAGATTAATCTTGCTAAACCATCAATGAGTCAATTTTTGAATAAGGAGTTAAAGATCTAGATAGTTGAGATTATTAGCTATCTCTGTGTACAGCAAGACCTTAGTTGCTTCATTTATACTCTTCAAAACTCCAGCTTCTTGCCTTATTTTCAATTGGGAGTCTTGACGCTGCCTGCTTCTGCTGCTAGTGATTGAAATAGTTGTTCTTCCAGTGATTAAGTATCACTATCTGAATATCGTACTTCTGATGGTCATTTGCATCCACTGGTTGGTTCTGCTCCTTACAGAAGCTGCTTCCTGTACCACTATTTCTGCTATTTAAGTAACTTCATTACTTTATGCTAAAGTATAGCAATTTTTTATTCTAGTTCCTTTTTTTGAGCACTACTATAGCTTTTCTTTCCTACATATGTACACCAAGTATTTTCTTTTCAAACTTTTAGAACTATTCCTACCCTGGTAAGCAGATAATGAGAACACAGAAGAGGGAAAAGGAATTGGTAGAAAAGCAGAGAATAACAAAGAGACAGACACATGCTGAATAAATCAGATTATGGATCAGAATGACACTACCTTTGACTCTTGCTCTTCTCAGAATAAGAATGCATCTTATAATAATTGGCACTGAGGTATTAAGTTTGTCTGGCTGGGAAATTCTGGGAGTTGAAGTCCTCACATCTTAAACCTGCCAAGGTTGAAAAACACTGTACTAGATATAGACTAATTCTGCAAGTTCCTATATTTTTAAGAACGCATATTCTGAATCAGCTAACACTGACCCAGAAAAATCTGAAGTATGAAAGATTCTGACATATGCACCCTAATCTACTTTTTATAAATTCCACATAATTTAACATGCATTCCTTATTTTAAAACCTAGAATCTTATGAGTAAACAGATTATGTAGGATGGAATTCAGGCCTGTCCAAATCTTGGCTATGGTAGGAAAGAAAATGAATCTGTTATCTAAAAGGTTTCCCTGTGTGAAAAGTTAAATATAATTTTGGAGATTTGTAAATATTCTTCTATGTTTGTGCAAATTAAAATTAACCAATAGATTAGCACACATTATCCAAGTCAGTTAAAGTGCATCAATTTCCTAGAGCAGTATCTACTAGCAAGAATAGTGTAACTACAAGACAAAAACATACATACAAATACCATGCATGCAGATACCAGTGCTATTTTCACTCCATAATCACAGTATGTGCATTGTAACTGACTTATAGCACATAGGACTTATTGCTATGCTTGCAAACTTATAACTTCCCAGAAGTTTTTATCATGCATCCCTTGCAATAAAACATGCTTGAATATATGTATTTATCACTTGTGTATACAATATGAGAACTGGACAGTTTACCAAAATAGCTGCAAAGTACATCAATATTTTGTGAAAAATGTTAATTGGTAAGAGTATTTTCCTGTACATCATTTTTGTGATAGTAAAGTACAGGCTGAAGAATCCATCAGTGCAACGCTTTTCAGCATTGGGAGCTTCCCATTTGGCAGTAAAAAGATTTACTATGAGTCTTGAATGGAGGGGGTTATTTTTTTTTCCTGCATCCTAATCAATTCTGGGCCACACAGAATGAACAGTTTCTTACTAGAGCCTCGGTGGCGCAGTGGTTAGAGTGCAGTACTGCAGGCTACCTCTGCTGACAGCCATCTGCCTGCAATTTGGCAGATCAAATCTCACCAGGCTCAAGGTTGACTCAGCCTTCCATCCTTCCGAGGTGGGTAAAATGAGGACCCAAATCGTTGGAGGCAATATGCTGACTCTGTAAAACTGCTTAGAGAGGGCTGTTAAGCACTGTGAAGTGGTATATAAGTCTAAGTGCTATTGCTATTGCTACTTAGTCTTATTAGAGATAAACCAGCAGTTCCTAATGTTGAACCAATTTTCCATTAGGACAAGAGCTCCACAACTATAAAAGTAATGACTATTAAAAAAATCCACAAAGAGATCTGTGTGCTCTGACATCAATGCTCAGTCCAGGACCAGAATATTTTTTTTAATCTACTTGGACACAAAATCAACATTATACAACATATTAAAACATAATACAGTTTGCTTGATCCTCCTGGTTTATGTTTTAAATTTGGTTCACTGATGTTAACATAAGTAAGTTTGTATAGGCAGCATCTGGAAGGGCTTTAAAAGGCCCTCCTGAAGTAGGGTTGCTGGGGGCAAAAGAAAGATTTGTGCAGAGCTGTACAATATCCTATTAGCAAGCTGTATATAAAGAGACACTTCTCAAAGAATAATCGGTACACGCTAACAAGTGTTAAGTATTAAATCAGCTCTCCATTACAAATGAGAAATAAAATGGAAATTTTGAGGATGGAAATAATGGTTGGGCTAAATAAGAAAGATGTAGATAAGGACTCAAGGGAGGAGTATGGGGCGCAAGTCAAAAAGAGAAGAAGTGAAACTTCCAAAAGGATGAGAGATGATGGATAGGAAGGATTTTTCTTTTAAAAAAAAATAAGATTGGCCGTATTAAAAATTAGGATAAAAAATTAGAAATAGTGGGAATATTGCTATACGTATTTTAGTTAACACATTTAAAGTGAATATTAGGGGTTAAGATCAGAGTTTGAAAAAGGATGTTATTAGGTATGCTCAAAAATAATGCTAGTACTATTAGAAGGGTGTAGCAAATATTGAACAATTGAAAAATGAAGGACTATGTGCCGATACAGTTATGTACAACAACAATAGACCATGTAAGTCTGATTAATGTAGTAATTCTCCAGATTGGCCGCACTAAAAATTAGAACAGAAAAAAAATAGAAATAGGGGGAATATTATTATACATATTTTTACTTAACACGTTTAAAGTGAATATTGGAGGTTAAGATCAGAATTTGAAAAAAGTTGTTATCATGTATGCTCAAAAATAATGGTAGTACTATTAGAAGGATGTAGCAAATATTGAAAAATGAAGGATTATGTGCTGATAGTTATGTGTAATATTAGACCATGTAACCCTGATTAATGTAGTAATTCTCATTGTATCAATACTATTTTTGTATCAAAATGAATGACACTCAGACACCTCACTGTCCATGAAACGATATTGATGTGTGTTTAAAAATTAAAAAAAACTTTTTAAAAGAAATAAATAAAATTGAAGCACATCCTTAAAGGGGCATAAAATCCTTAGGCCAGAGGATCTCCAACCTTGGTAGCTTTGAAGGCTTGTGGACTTCAACTCCCAGAATTCCCAAGCTTGGCACAGCGGCCAAGCTGGCTGGGGAATTCTGGGAATTGAAGTCCGCAAGTCTTAAAAATTGCCGAGGTTGGAGACCGTATGTTTTAAAATGGAGAGTGCTAGCAGAACGGCCGGCTTTTATGCTTAACTTTTCACGGGACAATCCAGAACCTTAAAACCCGCTGGACCCGATGCCCGGCAATTCAAGGGCAGGAAAAAAAGCCGAGCCGCATTAACTTTTTAACTGGGGGTCTTGACAGTCACGACCAGGGCTTGAAACCAGGGGAGCCGCTTTAATAGCTGACCTTCCAGCTGAGCCTTAATCCCCCCTAGAGGATCGCGGGCTAACTTCGAACATCCTTAGACCTAGTCCTAGACCCAAACGCCACTAACCTTTCCGCGGGGCCCAGCATGTTAGGATGAGAGCGGCGGGTCGAATGGCAACTTTTATCAGGCGGCGCCCAGTAACCAAGGGCGACACGGGAGCCGCCATCTTGACGTGCTTCCTTTCCTCCCGCCGTTCCCCCTCCCTTTTTAGAAGGTAACTTTATTGGCAGCAGATACAGCCGCTCCGCCAAACCCTCTTTTCTCAGCCAGCCCGATTCCATTCACCTTCACTTTAAACCAGGGGCTCGTCCTTTGCACGGACTACGAGCTCCAGAATGCAACACGTGACTCCGCTCAAAGCGACTGCAGGCAGCCGGATGCAAAAGGCATGCTGGGAAGTGTTGTATTTCTGCTTGTATTCAACCTGGCCGGGTCGATACGAACAAGAACGGCATTCTTTTAATTTAATAAGGCATGTTTATGATCACATATCCGTCTGAGTCCGTAATAGTGATTGAGGGCTTACACAATTCTTAACGCGTATAATTTGGCATGTATTGAATATTACGTGCCGATGTGCTACGGTACTAATGAGTAATTCCAATATTTTATATGCGATTTACTCTGATAGGAAATACTTTCTCTTGTGGGGCTTCAGCATCTAAACATCCCCTGCATGTTTCTTCAGAATCTTAAGTCTTGTCAGTAAGAGTTGTACACGGTGATTGCATTTAATATTATGTATGCAGGGACCAACCTATGACTGTCTTTGACTTACTGAAGTACTGTGGTAGGATAGCCCAGCTAGTGTGCATAATTCTGTGAATGTCGTGCAAAACAAGCCCTATATGTGAAATGTATTGTACAGTGAGTCTATATTTTTAAGGCTCTTGAGACATCGTTTTGTCAACTGGCCTCGGGATCCCATGATGGAGTGGAACAGTGAGGTTGTTACATGATGGTTAATTGGAATGCACTCTATGTCTTTTTTTCTTGCCATTTTAAAAATCTTTTTAATTTATTTTGGCTGTATTTTAATTGGGTTTTATATATTTGGATTGTTTTATATGGCACTCACAGTCACTATGTGAGATGGACAGCAGTCATCATCATCATCGTCATTTAGCCATTGTCTATCCACTGCAGGTTAGCTTTCTTTTGCCAATTGAGTCAGCAATATTTGCTGAAGTCATTGATCCATCTTGTTTTAGTTCTCTTTCATGGACACTTTTTATCAAGGGAGATCCATTCTATGACTGCCTTGGTCCACCTGCCATCAGTTCTTCTTCCTATGTGACCAGCCCATTTCCATTTCAATTTTTTACTCTCTTGATGATATCCTATATTTTTGTTTGTTCTCTAATCAGCAGTATGTACTAAATACGGTACTTAACCATACTAATATTAAATGCATCTCTATTTGTGTTTATGTCTGTGTGTAATTGGTTTTATTTTTATTCTGTTTTTATTATGTTAGTTGCCCTGAGTCATATATTTAACAGATAATCAGAGTTGGAAGGGACCTACACCATTTCTGACAAATGGCAGTCCAATCTCTTCTTGAAAGTCTCAAGTGATGGCGCTCCCACAACTTCCGAGGGAAAGCTGTTCCATTGCTTAATTGTTCTCACTGTCAGAAAGTTTCTCCTTATTTCCAGGTTAAATCTCTCCTTGTTCAGTTTCCATCCATTATTCCTTGTTTGGACTACAGGTGCTTTAGAAAATAGCTTGACCCCTTCCTCCCTGTGGCAGCCCCTCAAATATTGGAAGACTGCTATCATGTCTCCCCTGGTCCTTCTCTTTACTAGACTAGCCAAGCCCAGTTCCTGTAACCGTTCGTTGTATGTTTTAACCTCCAGTCCCCTAATCATCCTGGTTGCTCTTCTCTGTACTTTTTCTAGAATCTCAACATCTTTTTTATAATGTGGTGAACAAAACTGGATGCGGTACTCTAGGTGTGGTCTTACTAAGGCTTTATAGAGTGGTTTTAGTACTTCCCTTGATCTTGATCTTATATATACAAGATAGGAAACCATATAAATGTATATTTTTATTTAATAAACAGTGCATAGCATTCATAACACACCTTTATAATATCTAATCGGTTAAGCTAAAATAATACAGAACAGTGTGGCTTTCACCTTCTCTATTTACATAAATAGAGAAAGACGTATAGCTGGTAGAACAAACTAAGTCAACTAAAATGAAAAAGTTTATATTGTGAGTAGTTTTCTTCTTGCTGTATATCACTTGCTTTACCATTCTTGTATACTATTTCAATATATTACATCTTTCTTTGATTTTTGAATCAGTTGCTGTCTATCCATTGGCAACATTTAGCAGTTTGGAATCTCCTTTTGTGTTCAGACATCTTTGGAACACTTTTCCTGTTTATTCATGGCTGTTTCCATTTTCAGTATCTTTACAGATGTTGTTGTAATACTGCTTCCTAAGTCTACTGATGTGATGGAATGTAGTAAGGAGGTGGATTCCTAGGAGGGAGGTGGTGCATTCCAGAGGAATAAACAGCAACTCAGTCTAGATGTTATGTGTGAAAGAAAGAAGATGAAGCCACAGACCCTCTCTAATAGGTCACACAGTATATGGTACGTGCAGATAGTAAAGTGCTCAGTTTGGCAAGTTTTTGTCTACAGGTATGAAAACAACAAAATAACCCACCTTGGGTCATTTTTTGGTTTGGCGCCTGACATCAAACAACTCTCTGAAACTCTTCCTTAAGGTCCTTCCTGAGATATTTATCTTCCTTTCCTTTACTTCTTTTCCTTGTTCTTCTCATCCTCTACCTTCTAGTTTCCTGTCGTCCCCCCCTTCCAGCTTCCTTTGTTCCTTCCTTATCTTTGGACAAGTCTCTTTTCACATTTCTCTTTAGCTACTTCCTTAACTTCATTCCGTAGTTCAGGATTTCAATCTGATTTGTGATGTTTTTCCTGAAAATGGAGGGTACAGGCTCAACGTTGTATTGTAGAAAGTGGTTGGCTTTCTTACTTTTTTAGCTTAATAGGAACTTACACATGAAGTTTGTGATCTGTTCTACAGTCAGCAGCTGCCCCTGTCTTTGATGCTTTAACTAAGCTCCACCTAATTTTAGCAATAATGTCATCAATTTGATTTCTATGTACTACTCTGGTGATGTTATTTTTTGCTATTTGAAGATCTTAAACTCTGAATAAATCATTCGAGTGGAAGAAGTTAATAAATTAGCCTCCTGCTTCAGTTTTGTTTGCTAAGCCATATAATACAACTACATATTGATCCTTATTATTTCTAACTTTGGCATTGCATGTTCTGTCAATACTGTATATTATATAGCATTTCCATTCATTTTGTTATTTAATAATGACCTTCATACAATATAAACTTTTTAATTAGTGAATAGTAACTGAATTCTGTAAGCATGATTTTGAAATTAAGATCTTTACTATCTCATTGATTTCAGTAAAAATTAAATGCACTTAAATTTCCAATAAAACAGAAATCTTAAGCCTGGTTAATTTTGTGAACTCTGTTTCTTATTCTTTTTCTCACACCACTTATCTAGAAATGGGAAAAGTATATAACTGAAGCACATTAATAATCTAAATAAAATTTAAACCAACAGAATTCAGGATTATGTTACAAAACATAAAATATGTTATTTATTGTATAAATGTACACACAGGTACTTCAAATGAGACTTGCTTAAAGATTGCAGTGTTACTAATTGTATCACATAACATTTTTATGAGGTTTAAAATAAGTTTCTTCTTTGTGTCCTTTAAAGCTTTAACGAGTTAATTCACTCAGATGTTAAATTCGTCAACACCTGGACCCATTTAACAATGAACTCCAGTGTGCAAATCACTATGAATTGCACAGACATTTCAAAAAGACTTTGCATATTTGCTAAAAGCAATATTTTTAGATACTTGAACAGAGAATGAACAACTTTGGCAAAAAGTGATTTAAATAACAAATAACTTCTCTCTATAAACAGCTTAACTCCTTGAGAACAATGAATAAACAAGGAGACAAGAGTCTTTTTTCCCTCTCTTTGCATTATTAACTCTCATCACGATATGAATGGGTGAAATGTCAGGAATAATTGGAGAAAATCACAGCCTAATCTTCGGCAAAAACATCTGATTTATTTAAATTGTCACTACTCGTTCTTAATAAATCCTTTCTTTAACCTTTTGATCTGCAATCCAGCAGGCTAAAAATTGAATGTTTGTGTGTGATGCACATCTCCTGCTTTTCACACAACTGCATACTCTTGCATGCTGAATAAAGTCCGTATCATGAACTCCTTTGCTCAGGTGCTGACATGACCCTTCTGACATCGCTCCAATCACAGTGCTAGGGAATTCATGAGAGACATGATACAGGCTAAATATAGAAATGAAAGTAAAGAACAGATTGAGAATAGGTATGTCATCTTATCAACGTTTACTTTATCTTCTCTACATCTTTTCACTGCAAGCACCATTTTTAAATTGTGTATCTGAGAATGATACACGTATATAATCCAGCTATATCAAGCTTTTCTGCACCAAAGGAAATATTGTCAAGAACACACAATTGAATTTCAAGTGGGAGGGGTCACATTCAATTTCAGTGTCCTGATGGCTATGTTCTTCTCGTGTCCAGTAAATCCCAGGGAGACATATGTATAGATAGTTATTTATATTCTATTATATACTCTATTTCAGTTCTCCACATGGAAAGTAAATCCTATATAAATTTGTCAAATTTCATTTTTATTTCTAATCATTCTATAGCTTATTTGATGGTGTCAGAGAAGTAGCATGTTACATTAGGGAGAGTTGACTAATGCTCTTATAAAATGGTATTGTAGATTGTAGTTCATTTGATATTTCTATATCCATTGTTGTGACCATGGAGGGCAAATAGTAAACACTAGTCAAAAGGATACAAAATTGGCTGAGACACTAATAATTATGTGGCCTTTAGAAGACAGATGTTAAATACAAGATATATTCTTTTCTCCAGTCTCATAAGCCCATCAGCTTCCATTATCTTCTGTAGACCCTGCAAATTTGGCTATTTATGGTGATGCTTAAAGATGTGTGAACCCTTTTGAATTTTTAATATTTCTGCATAAGTGTGACCTAAGATATCTTCTCCACACAAATCTTAAAACTAGATAAAGAGAACCTGTTAGGGTTTGAGAATTAACCCCTAGAAGAGTATTGCAGCAGTAGT